CTGGAGGTGTGCGCTGGTAACCAGAGATCTGAGTAATGCAAAGATTTGTGACACACAAAGAGATGAAGGAAGAAAAGAATATTTAGAGAATAATTCACATTCCACAGACAGAAAGAGGGCCAGCACTCTAAGATGTGTGGTCTCGTAGTCCCCAAGCCCCCAACTTAAATCCGTTTTCTGGAGATGTTGCAGTCAGGTGGATATGACTGCCATGACACCCTTGTTGACCACTTACTAATGTCTTGGAGACCCTGGGATGGGGAGGTAGTCCCAGTCACCAGGCACTGAGTTCCAGGATCCCACCACCCCTCAGGAGTTTACTTTCAGATTACAATATGTCCATACCTGTCATGCTTGAGGGATCTGTGTTTCTGGAAAGACAATGTCAGCAAAGTTAAACTTTTAATAAAGAATGAATTCCTCCAGGGCACAATTTTCACTTTCTTATCATTGTGTTAGGATCTAGGAACAAAACAAAATGGTTTCCCACTGTCAGTCTGTCCTTGCATTCCTTACTCCTGCTCCTGGAAATATTCTCATGATTTTGGGAAATGGGGTGAAGATTAATCTTTTGTAACTGTTTCCTGTTGAGGTGGGCCATAGAGATGACCTTACCTATTTCCAAGGGCATGAATAGGAAATGGTGGGACCACAACCGAATACTATTTGGACCTACTAAAGCATTGTCCAAGAGCACAGGCAAAAATTATTAAGCAAACAATGATGAAAAAGGCTATTGCCCCAGAAACAATGCTGGAAAAATGAAAATAGTCTTGTAAATTATTTGTATGTTTAGCTAAAACCTCTAATTTATTGACATAAGTTGAAATATTCCCTTATAAATTATCTATAGTTGTACAGCACATGCCTCCCATTATGCCACATAGACCTCCCATTTTTGCTAATAAGTAATTTAAAGCCATTCTGTTTGCTATGGTGTATTGTTGAACTTCCCCTTCTTCTTAGTTAAGTAGGTCTATAGCCAGGGCTGTGTATTCTGTAATATAATGATCTCTGCATATTAAAACTTTTAAATCAGGGAAAACAGTTATATATAGCTACACCCACCACCTTGTTGTCCTGCCACGGGTATCCATGCTGTTCCCACAACAGCTCACACAAAGTCTTGGGACCATAGTTGCATAACCCCACAGTTTGTTCGCATATTTCTATGATGCTGATGATAAGCTTTGTTTTTTAAATTTGGATATAAGAGACCACCCAAGAGTACTGCTGCTCCACAGGGTAGCCAATTTGTTGCTATGAGTTGGTTATTAAATATAGCTAAAGTGACAGTGCCATTTATAAAATGCATAGTTTGGTTGGTTTTTAAGACAGTATAATTTCTTAAGTTATTAGTGCCACTTGTTCTTAAGGAGAATTGACTGTCTGGTACAGTGTATATATAGTTACCACAGTGGGCTTGATACCCATTGCAGGAGACCAGGCAGTTTCCACTGTTGCACCAGTAAATTCCTGAGTCCCTGGAGCTTGTCTTCAAGATTTTGGGGTTGTGATAAGAATTTATATACAGCTATAAAGGGTTTTGTTAATGACTTTAACAAGGAAATACAACTACTTTGAGATATTGGCAAGAGAAAACAGTTTCTTTTGTTTTTATAATAGGTCTGATACACCTTTATAGTGATTGATATGCTAGCCAGGACCAAAAGACTGGCATCTGTTCTAAGTTGAGAAATTAATTTGAGTTTCAGCACCCAAACATTTATCTGGGGGTTGTTGGGGTGATGGTGAGCCAGTGCCAGTCACTTTAGATTTCCAGGCCTCTGTAAGTGGCCACCATTTGTGAGCCAAGTGTTTTCTCCTCTCTTTAGAAGAGAGTGCACCTGCTTCCCAATGGCTCTTTGGCCTGTACAGTGGACAAGATCCAGGAGGTTTAGGTCTCATTGGGGCAACTATGCTTTTAGTGTCCCCACAGACTATATTAATAAGTAACAGACACCATCCCCTTAGCAGGTTCATTTTTACCAAGGTCTGATTGTCAGTTGGAGTTTTGTCGTTAATTGCGACTGCCGATTGGGGTGCTTTTTTGACCCTCTAGTTCTGCTATCCTCCATATTGACACTATTTTTTTCTTAATGTTTTGGCTGAAAAAAAAAAAACTTATATCTCCTTTTTAAAAAAAGAACAATGGGTTTTTTATTTTCTCCCTTGAGAAACAGTATCATATCTAAAATACAGGTTCATGAGCATACTGTGATAGTATATAAGTGGTTTAACAGACATAAACAGAAATAGATAGTTTCCAAATTTTCTTTATGATTAAAAAATCATTTCCTTTTCTCTAGCTTTATTGTAAGAATACTTTATAAAATACACATAACACCAAATATATAATCAACTGTTATCAGAAAGGCTCTGAATTTTTAATAGTCTCAATGTATCACAGCACAGATAACATGAAGAAAAGGGTTTGCATTATTTTTAAATTCACAATTCTTCTACTTGTCCCCCACTGAGAAGCTCAGCAGTGAGAATGTGATTGGGTTATCTCCAAGGAAATGTGCCTGGCACGTTCCTGGTTCCTGGTGTCTCCTCTCCACCTGAATGAATGGATTGCTGAAGTTTAGGCTTGGCTTTTTTGGCTCAGTTTCATGGCATTCCAGTTTAATAAAAGAAAACACAGTATTTCAGGTCTATAGTGGCCCACTTTAAATACTTCTCTTCTAGCTTTCTCTCTCTGTTCTTCCAATTTTTTAAGTTGCTTTTTTTGTGTGTATTTTTGGAGCATTTGTTTTTGTTGATCACTCAGAACAGTTTTCACTGACCTTGATTTGTCCTTGGATTTTTCTGGAACAAGCTCTTGAGATGTCTTATCTAATTCAAGAAGACTTCTACCTTCAAAGGCTGGAATGTTGACATCTTTTAAACCAGAGTATCTATAGCATTCATATTCCTTATATTGTTTTTTTTTTTCTGAGACAATGACTTCCTATGAGCAATTTTAGTTCTAATCATTTCAAGCAGCACTTAAATCCTTTCTGTGTTGAATGGCAAAACATGATGATGACATCCTGAAGCCCCTTTGCTGTGAATCTTCTGCCACCTGAGAGTGAACACCGGCTCAGATCAAAAACTCCTTTTTTAATAGATTATACGTATGAAACTTTGACCATTTTTGTTTGTAATAGTTTGATGTAAAACCCTTTAGAATGAACAGACCACGTGGATATGAAATTATCTGTCCCTACTTATTTATAATTATGAACAGGCAAACATGTTAAAACCCCTTATGAATTATTAAATTACAGTCTTAGTTGTAAGGTATAGACAATTAGGTGAGAATGATCAGTTTTTATCCTTATTGGGTTCACACAGAGTACCCAGTATTTTATCTATCCAGCAGGAGAAGTGTTAAGCCTAGTAAAAGTGACTTTTTAAAAAATAAAATACAACTTTAACCTGATATAACAAATGTTGGTGTTATCTAGCATTAATGTTTTAACATATGGTAAAGTTGGAAGATTTTACTAGAGCATTTGTATATTTGGTTGGAAAAACAGATTAAAATTACAGTTGATTTTCTTGGTTAACAGGATTGATGTGTGATCTCTTTACCTTTGTCTGGAAGAAGGTTGTTATAGATCTAATTTGAGAGACTTATCATAGAAAAAACAAACCCACAAAAAAGAACTTTAATATCTTTTTGTCCTGACCACCTCCCTGAGGAGAGACCAGTTAAACCACATGGAAACATGAATGGGCTTCCCAAGTATAGGTGGGGGGTGGTGAGGAGTGGTATGGGAGGTTGACTTGCTGTAGCTAGTAGGGCTGCCACCAGGGGATTATCAGGCAGTGGGAGAAGGGGAACAGGAAGGCTGGGGGCCGGGATCAGGCACCATGGCTTTTGGCGCTGGCCCCTAAACTGAAGGTAAAAGAGAAGAGAGACTGGAGGCCAGGATTAGGCTTCAAGGCCCTAGATGCTGACCCCTTAGCAGGTAAAGGTGGAATGCAAAGGAAGAGAACGAAGGAAAACTGACAAGAGTGTGGAGTAGCAAAAGCAGATTGGGAGAGATAGGAGAAAAACCAGCTGGGTCAGCATTTGAGTTGTTAGAGGAAAAGCAGGAATTGGAGATGTAGAGGAAATAGAGTATGATGGAAGTGAAAAATCTTCTGAGGGAGGGGTAGCTAAGTCAGATGTTGGGAGCCGGTCATGGAGGCCCACTGAGCGTTAGGGATCAGGAAGGGCCGTTGACCCTGAGACCACCAGGATGCATTCGGGAGCTATTGACCCCATTTCCTGCCCCTTTCTACTCAGCACTAACCAGATTAAGTTCCTGTGAGCTCAAAACATAGAAACTCTGAGACCAGGATGAACACAAGCTAACTTTACAAGCTCATTGCTCCCATTCTTCCACAAACTGCAGTTTTGGCTTTCACACAACTTATCATTCAAACTTGTGTCACATCTAGGAGCCTTAGTATTGGTCACAGGCTTCTGGGTCATGATCTTAGGATGTATTGAAGGTGTAAATTGTAGAATATAGTTTTAGAAGACAGCCATTTTGTTGAAAGAATGCAGCTGGGTTACTTGCAGGTAGCCCACTGTGAATTTTGGACTGGGTCACATTCCAGACATTCTGGGATGGGTCACTTTCATTTGTAAAGTAAATACTTAAGTTTCTATTGAATTGTTGAACTTGGCATAAATCAATCAGTTTAGGATGAAAAAAGTTTATAGAATATATCAGTCATGGATTAGGTTATCCTTTGTTATGAGATTTTAAGATTATCATAGGAAAAGGGTTTAAAGGCAATCATTGATTAAGTTTTCATGGATTAAGGTTTCTGGTGGGTGGGGGACGCCCCTCCTACATCTGACTTTGTGTATAAAAGACCCCTTGTGATTCCCAATAACACACATCGCTTCTGCACTAGAATGGAGTCCAGTCTCTTTCTTTCTCTCTCTTCTTCCCCCCAATCACCGATGCCGTCTCCACCTTTGGGGTACCCTGAACCCAGCTGGAGCTGATTCCCAGCAAGTGGTGCCCAAGAGAAAAACAGGGATCGTCAAACCCGAGAACACATAACTTCCTCTTCAGTGTCTAAAAAGACTTGGTTAGACCAGATTCTGGCTGCCAACCTGGATGCAGATGACCCTCTAATAGATGAGGAAGACGAAGATTTTGAAGAAGAAAGTGATGATGATGATACTGCAGCTCGTCTCGTAGAACTGGAAAAAATTAAAAAAGAAAGAGCTGAAGAGCAGGCTAGAAAGGAACAAGAACAAAAAGCTGAAGAAGAGAGAATTCGTATGGAAAACATTCTGAGCGGAAACCCTCTGCTTAATCTCACTGGTTCATTCCAGCCTCAAGCCAACTTCAAAGTTAAAAGAAGGCGGGATGATGATGTCATCTTCAAAAATTGTGCAAAAGGTGTAGATGATCAGAAGAAAGACAAAAGATTTGTTAATGACACACTGCTATATGAATTTCACAAAGAATTCATGGAGAAATATATTAAGTAGTACGATTTTGTGGGCTTAAAGACTGTAAAACATAAGGGATCATTCTGAGTTTATTTTGATGAGTTTTTTTTCTTTTCCCTGTCTAAATTGTGTGTAGGCATCATTTGCTAATCAAAAACATTAATGTCTATACTCATCAATGTGGGAATTTGCGGAGCAGTGATTCTTTTGTTGCTGTGTTTACTCCCAATCATCGTCAGAGTGCTAAAGTAGAGCAATACGGAGTTTCATGGTTTCATGCTAAAAAATAAAAAGGGGGAGATGTTGGGAGTCAGCCACGGAGGCCCACTGAGCGTTAGGGATCAGGAAGGGCAGTTGACCCTGACACCACTAGGATGCGTTCGGGAGCTATTGACCCCATTTCCTCCCCCTTTCTACTCAGCACTAACCAGTGTGTCATTAACAAATCTTTTGTCTTTCTTCTGATCATCTACACGTTTTGCACAGTTTTTGAAGACAACATTATCATCCCACCTTCTTTTAACTTTGAAGTTGGCTTGAGGCTGGGATGGGCCAGTGAGATTAAGCAGAGGGTTTCCGCTCAGAATGTTTTCCATACGAATTCTCCCTTCTTCAGCTTTTTGTTCTTGTTCCTTTCTAACCTGCTCTTCAACTCTCTTTTTTAATTTTTTCCAGTTCTGCAAGAAGAGCTGCAGTATCATCACCATCACTTTCTTCTTCAAAATCTTGGTCTTCCTCATCCATTAGAGGGTCATCTGCATCCAGGTTGGCAGCAGGAATTCGGTCCAACCGAGGCTTTCTAGACACTGAAGAGGAAGCTGTGTGTTCTCGGGTTGGACTATCCCTGTTTTTCTCATGGGTGCCACTTGCCAGGAACCAGCTCCAGCCGGGTTCAGGGTACCCCACAGGTGGAGACAGCATCGGTGATTGGGGGGAAGAAGAGAGCAAAAGAAAGAGACTGGACTCCATTCTAGTGCAGAAGCGATGTGTGTTATTGGAAATTACAACGGGTCTTTTATACACAAAGTCAGATGTGGGAGGGGCATCCCTCACCCACCAGAAATCTTAATCCATGAAAACTTAATCAATGATTGCCTCTAAACCCTTTTCCTATGATAATCTTAAAATCTCATAACAAAGGATAACCTAATCCATGACTGATATATTCTATAAACCTTTTTCATCCTAAGCTGATTGATTTATGCCAAGTTCAACAATTCTATAGAAGCTTAAGTATTTACTTCACAAATGAAAGTGACCCATCCCAGAATGTCTGGAATGTGGCCCAGTCCAAAATTCACAGTGGGCTACCTGCAAGTAACCCAGCTGCATTCTTTCAACAAAATGGCTGTCTTCTAAAACTATATTCTACAATTTACACCTTCAATACATCCTAAGATCATGACCCAGAAGCATGTGACCAATACTAAGGCTCTTAGATGTGACACGAGTTTGAATGATAAGTTGTGTGAAAGCCAAAACTGCAGCTTGTGGAAGAATGAGAGCAATGAGCTTCTAAAGTTAGCTTGTGTTCATCCCAGTCTCAGAGTTTCTATGTTTTGAGCTCACAGGAGCTTAATCTGGTTAGTGCTGAGTAGAAAGGGGGAGGAAATGGGGTCAATAGCTCCCGAACGCATCCTAGTGGTCTCGGGGTCAACGGCCCTTCCTGATCCCTAACGCTCCGTGGGCCTCCATGGCCGGTTCCCAACATCTCCCCCTTTTTCACTTTTTAGCATGAAACTGTGAAACTCCGTATTGCTCTTCTTTAGCCCTCTGAAGATGACTGGGAGTAAACAGCAACAAAAAAATCACTGCTCCACAAATTCCCACATTGATGAGTATAGAAGTTAATGATTTTTGATTAGCAAATGATCCCTACAAACAATTTAGACAGGGAAAAGAAGAAAAACTCATCAAAATAAGCTCAGAATGATCCCTTATGTTTTACAGTCTTTAAGCCCACAAAATCGTACTACTTAATATATTTCTCCATGAATTCTTTGTGAAACTCAGATCGCCGTGTGTCATTAACAAATCTTTTGTCTTTCTTCTGATCATCTACACCTTTTGCAGTTTTTGAAGACAAAATCATCATTGCACCTTCTTTTAACTTTGAAGTTGGCTTGAGGCTGGGATGGGCCAGTGAGATTAAGCAGAGGGTTTCCGCTCAGAATGTTTTCCATACAAATTCTCTCTTCTTCAGCTTTTTGTTCTTGTTCCTTTCTAGCCTGCTCTTCAGCTCTTTCTTTTTTAATTTTTTCCAGTTCTACGAGACGAGCTGCAGTATCATCATCATCACTTTCTTCTTCAAAATCTTCGTCTTCCTCATCTATTAGAGGGTCATCTGCATCCAGGTTGGCAGCCAGAATCTGGTCTAACCAAGTCTTTTTAGACACTGAAGAGGAAGTTATGTGTTCTCGGGTTTGACGATCCCTGTTTTTCTCTTGGGCACCACTTGCTGGGAATCAGCTCCAGCTGGGTTCAGGGTACCCCAAAGGTGGAGACGGCATCGGTGATTGGGGGGAAGAAGAGAGAGAAAGAAAGAGACTGGACTCCATTCTAGTGCAGAAGCGATGTGTGTTATTGGGAATCACAAGGGGTCTTTTATACACAAAGTCAGATGTGGGAGGGGCATCCCCCACCCACCAGAAACCTTAATCCATGAAAACTTAATCAATGATTGCCTTTAAACCCTTTTTCTGTGATAATCTTAAAATCCCATAACAAAGAATAACCTAATCCATGACTGGTATATTCTATAAACCTTTTCCATCCTAATCATTCATGGATTAGGTTATCCTTTGTTATGGGATTTTAAGATTATCATATGAAAAGGGTTGAAAGGCAATCATTGATTAAGTTTTCTGGATTAAAGTTATGGTGAGTGGGGGACGCCCCTCCCACATCTGACTTTGTGTATAAAAGACCTGTTGTAATTCCCAATAACACACATCGCTTCTGCACTAGACTGGAGTCCAGTCTCTTTCTTTCTCTCTCTTTTCCCCCCAATCGCCGACGCTGTCGCCACTTTTGGGGTACCCTGAACCCAGCTGGAGCTAGTCCCCAGCAGTCAGTAGGATCAGTATCTTCTGATGGGCCTATGGGCAATGGGATCTGGGGAGCCAACACAAAATGCAGCAAGAGGAACAGATCTGGGTGGCGAGCTAACTCATAAAAGGCCTGAATATATCGAATCAAGGTATTTGTCATTTCTTTTTAAGTACAAATCAAGCTGTAAGAGTGTATTAGTAGTTAAGAAGCCACCTTTTGGTCAGGTTTTGCCATCCCTCAGTTTATGCTGTAGAATTTCCCCATACTGGGCCAGCAGATGAAAGGGTCAGCTGGAGCAAGGTGGGCCAGAGCCCGTGCTGCCAAGCAATATTGTAGTAAAAAGAAACATGGATACAGTTGGGATGGGTTCTTGGTTTTGTGGATTTTTTTCTGGATTTTACCCATCCAGATTCCCTGCCGGGTATCCCTAGCAGGTTCAGTGGAATCAGTGCAAAGGTTGTGAGTTATGAGAGAGAGTATGTCTTCTCTTCCTGGTGCCCACTGGAGCTCATGGGACACTATGCTCCATCATGTCTTGGAAGGCCTGGTACCAGTATTTCCAGCAATTGGGTCCCACACCCTTGCTAGGAATCTCCCAAGATGGAAAACCGGGAAAAGCCTGAGAGACCCAGGGATTTATCCAAACAGGGATCCAGGAGCACATCCAAATATGTGGGTGTGTGAGTGATAAGGGATGACTCAGAGATGCAGAAAGGCATGCAGCTGTTGAAGTTTCAAGGTCCTTTGTGGAGTCACTTTGTCAACAAGAAGAGAATACTTCGTCTCCCACCAGTTCGGGCACTGGCAGTCTGACCTTTCCTTTGGGGACCTTTTTGCCTCCCTAGGGAGTAGCCCTAGGAAGAGACTGTCAGTTGTCCTCTGAGATCCAGCCCAGTCCCTGGGAAAACTCACAGATCTCGGCTAGGAGGAAGTAAGATTTAACCTTAGTCTCTCACCCTATCAGGCTGCAGTGGTCTGATTTTTTTTTCTGGGACCTTTCAGCACACTGAAGTGTAACCTCAGCCAAAGCTTTCAGTTGTCACCACATTTTAACACAGTCCACAGAGGGGCACCAGTTAGGAAGTTAAGGAAGGAAGGAAGAGAGAGAGAGTGGGACCTCTAGAAAATGTTAGGGTGCAGAGGAGGACAATACCACCACCAGAGACGACATGCTGGAGGTGCACGCTGGTAACCAGAGATCCAAGTAGTGCAAAGATTTGCAACACACAAAGAAATGAAGGAAGCAAAGATTTATTTTGAGAATAGTTCACTTCCCACAGACAGAAAGAGGGCCAATATTCTAAGATGATTGTAGCCTCGCAGTTCCCGAGCCCCCAACTTAAATCCCTTTTGAGGAGATGTTGCAATCAGGTGGATGTGACTGCTGTGACTCCCCTGTTGAGCACTTGAGAACGTCTTGGAGACCCTGGCCAGGTAGGGGGGGAAGAGGAGTCCCAGTCACCAGGCACTGAATCACAGGATCTCACCACCCCCAGGAGTTTATTTTCAGATTGCAGTAGGCCAATACTGGTCATGCTTGAGGGATCTGTGTTTCTGGAAAGACAATGTCAGCAAAGTTAATCTTTACTTAAAGAATGTGTTCCTCCAGAGCACAGTTTTTACTCTCTCATCATTGTGTTAGGATCTAGGAACAAAACAAAATGGCTTCCCAGTCTCGGTCCATCCTTTCACTCTAGACACCCCCTCTTGCTCCAAGCAGCACACAGTATTGCAGTACAGCCTTTTGGATTACACTCATGCCAAAGAGACAGGCGGCTGCAGTTTGAAGTCCTGCATCATCCACCTTTGCTCCAGTTATGGGACCTTCAACAAGCCCAATGAGCAAAGGTGTGTCTATGAGCTTACAGGAAAGGATGTTCTGCAGTGTGGTCTCAGTAGCTGCAAGTATGTCCTGCTTCATGCGTTCTGAAACCTTTGAGGTGAATAAAAGATAGAAGAGAGGGATTGGGACCCAGAGGAGTAGGAGAAAAGCTCTGATAGCCAGGAGAGGGAGAATGAATCACCTTTGC